GCAGTGATTCGGTACTTTTCATATTCTTGAAGTTTTACCAGGAAAGGCAGAATAGTATATCGTTGCTCTAAACTCTTCAGTCGAGGGTTAAGCGAATCGCACAGCGACGAGCGTTACTTGTGATTAATTCGAAGTGATGTCTTTAATAGCGTCATTGTTTTACAAGATGATCATAATCGTTTTGTTTAACTGTATAATTTGATTTCGTTCCAATAACACGACTGTTACGTTAACGAATCGATCTACCTGTACTTTTAAATTGAAATATTTATCTAGTTAGTTTTACCTATGTGCCCAGGTCAAACAATCAGACAGCAAGATCTTGGGATCAGAAGTCTGATTGTTTAGCCTGAGTGTTCTTTTTACGAAGATTCATTATGAGTTCGATATCAAGCCAACAACAAAATACTATTAGTTTAAGATTTTTTCATCAAATGAAATTTAATGATTTGACTACAATAGATTGTTAAAAAAGCGCAACTTAGTAATATTTTTCTACTCTTTTATAGTTTATATTTGATTGTTGACCATTGTCAATTAATGATACCTATATTATCGTATCCTACGTAAGTGTAAAATTCTTTTACTTTTTTTTATTAATGAAACCAAAATATATAAGAAGAGACTTGTACAAAACATAATCAGTCAATAAGAAGGGTGTGGGTGTGGGACGCGCACCACACCCACCCACGCCCACCCCCGCCCCCACCCCACACCCACACCCTTCCTCTTCGAATGGCAAACTGATGTATTTCTGTTGGTTGTGGGGATCAATCGTTTTTTGTAGCCTCCCTAGTCCCCGTCCCTCAGAAAAGTCGATGCGTTTGTTTTTTCTAAAATTCAATTTGCCATTAAAATCCTCGTAGACCTCCACACCCACACTCACACACATCCACACCAGCCCTGCTTTTTTATTTTTGAATAAATATAGACATTGTGAAGATAAGTAAAATGATTTTGTTCAAAATATTTGTAGAAAAAGCTTTAACGAAACGTAAATCATTTGAAACGACGGATTTTCACGAAATTGCCGTTAGTATCTGTATTGACAGAAGAATCAGACGACATGGACTGTTCTTATTGTTCTAGTTGAATTTCAGTGATCAAAAGTTCATTTTCCATACTTGAAACTGTAACTTCTGCGATTTTCTTTATTTTAAAAATGGTGAATGGCATAATTAATATTTCACCTTCGTTAGCATATTGAGATGAATTTTCAACATTTAAAACATTTCGTCGCTCTTTTATTTGATATTTATACATAACCCAATTTTTAATTGTTTTCCCATCGAAAGTATAGCGATTTGCTTGACCACTTTTTTTCTTGCTAATTCTTGTCGACGTACAAACTGTAGAAGACTTCGTTTATGAATGACTGATGATACAAATGATTTCGTCATTAATAAAGAATTCTCTTTATACTTTTTAATATTATCTTCATTATTTTTGCATTACTCTATAAGATGCACCTGTATAGGATAAATGATCCAATTTTGGATGGAATAATAATAGTGCTATAATAAATTGGCATTCATTTTGATATCCTACTGAACCAACTGCTATTTCTAGATTGAGAATTTGATAATACTTAGTTTCAGCTGTAAATGCTGTAACGATCCATATAGAATCTTGTTCTTCACTAGCTTTTTGAAAGAAACGTTTGATATCAGGAATTCCATGAAAATTAAAACATTCACCAATATATTTTTCAATTTTTTCAAACATCATCTACATTGATGTCAGTTCACTAGTGCTGTCAAAAGTAGATTTAAGCAAATGTCGTATTTGTGTAGCATCATCTACAATATCATCATCGTCAATAATTTCCCACTCAATAGTACCTTTATTTGATTGGAGTCGATTAGAATTCGGTATAAGATAGAAAAGTTCTTTAATTTCGTCAGTCCTCGCTTCACCAAATGGTAAATTTCCATATTTACTTTGAATAGCTCTATCTGCTCCTACCATCAATAATAATTTAACAATTTCTAGATGCCCATGAAAACATGCAGCATGTAATGCCGTCATACCATTTGGTTCGACTCTGTCAATATCATTTGTATCCATAGTTTCAAGTAATGCTTGAACTTCTTCAATCTTATTATTACGACATGCTAAATAAAAATCGCTACATTTATTAGACGATGTCGCTGTTGTTGGTGATGGTATTGTTGTTTCTATTAGGATTGGTGAAGATTCAGATTGTCCTGCAATTTTGTTAATATTTGTTAATTCATCTGGAGAAATGCATTCTGGATGATCTGGTAGGCATTGAGGAGGAAGATATCGTCTTTTTCGACGTTTACCCACAAATATTCCTAATCTCTTAAAGGGGGTGGGTGTGGATAGGGTGCGAATGGGTGCGGTTGTGCGTGGATGGGTGTGGGCGGATGACGATTTTATTGACACCTACTTCTAGACCCACAGCGACGCCCACACCCACATGCAACCACACCTTGGTTTTCGATGTCGGGCTTTCGACCAACGAGATTCTTCCAGGTTGAAAGTCGAGCCAAACAGATACGTTGAATATGCCGCTTTCGACCAATCCGATTCTTTCACGCTGGAAGTCGAGTCGCTGAGGGTTTTTAGAGATGGGGAGCTCGGCCAATCAGAGCCTTTCATACTGGAAGTCCAGTTAACCAGGTTTTTGCTGGTGTGGGTGTGGGCATGGGTGGCGTGGTTATGAGCAGGGTGTGGGTGAGGATGGGAGTCTTTGGTACCTATATCCACACCCACACCCGCACCCACACCTCACCTACATCCGCACCCACACCCGCACCCACACCTCACCTACATCCGCACCCACACCTCACTCACACCCCACACCCACACCTCACTCACACCCGCACCCACACCCACACCTCACCCACACCTCACCCACACCCCACACCCACACCCTAGGCTTGCCTACTATTTTGTCCTCATCGTGTGTGTTTTGCTTACCATACACTTTACGCTTACCCTAACTGTTGTCCTTATCTTGTAGTATTATATTTCACGTCGTTATATTGTTATAATTGCTTAGTTTTTATGCTTGCGTATATAAAGCGTAAAAACATTTGTATGTAAGGGGGATTTATGATATGAAGAAGCAAATAAAGTGTAACTGCATCTTCACTAACCCTTCTTCTATCTAAATATCGTCACACTGATGTATTTTTTTTAGGACTTTTTCTTCGCGATCATTTGGAAAGATACAATGAAGTTAAAGTTAACTAATGATCGTTCTACTTCGGCGAACGTGAAATCTGAATCTTGGCATCCAAGAGTCACGCCCACATCCCCATCCTTTGTTTGCTATTTTTTGTGGAAGTGAATTTGACGATTGTTCTTCGTTGTAGCCATTGCTCGAAGTTGGTCTTGCTCCTGATCTGTAAATGATTTTTGAAGTACATTTAACTCAATTAATGTTTCGTTTCGTGTAAATATGTTCTGGATATATTTCATGCATTTACTTGTCATTTGTGAGCACCTAATGTCCAAGCGTTTAAGTCCGTGATTGTTGCACACGGCATCCATTAAAATCTTTACTCCGCTGTTCGTTAGATTATTATTATCAAGATAGAGATTAGTGAGGTTTGTATTTGTTGTTAGCATTTCAGCCAAATAAATCGTGCCATTGTCGGTAACTCCAGTGATGTCAAGTGACAGAGTTTTTAGGGTTGTATTGTGCTTTAAAGCTGCAGAAAAGCATTGAGCCCCACTATCACCAATCTGATTGGCACCAATATAAAGACTCTCTAATGTTGAGTTAGCTCGTAGAGCTTCGGCCAGAGATTGGGCACCCTTATGCTTGATATTATTGTTCGTGAGATCGAGGAAATTTAAGTGTGTGTTTTTGTATAGCGCCTGAGCAATCAAATGGACGCCACCATCTCCAACTTTATTTTCTGCTATTTGTAACATTGATAACGACGTGTGCGACTGAAGCACCTTTGCAAGACACTGAGCTCCTTCTTCTGTAATCTTGTTGCTACGTAGATTGAGATACGAACATTTTTTATCAATAATAGCCCGCTGTATGACTATTGGAATGTCATTATCGATTAATTCCTGTCTTTTAAGATCCATATCGTGGCCCTGTGTATAAATGAGTTGTTCCAGTTTATCATTTTGATAACTGTTAGGTAATTGCTCCTCATCTTTATTAAAGTGAGATTTCAGTCTCACGGTCATAGTTGTTAAGGGTAGTTCAATGAGGGGAAACGGTGGATCAACCTGTCTCAAATGAATAATGTTAAGATCAGACGAAGGTTTCAATTTGCTGATAACTTCAAATTGTGCTGCAGGTAAAAGAAGAATTTCATCTTCAACGTCAATGTACGAATGCGATCGAATTGTTTTTCCATTTTGACATTCTATGTTGAATAAAGTGCGTGGCCCATGTTTGCCAAGAAATTGTTCTGATTCAAGAACAGCAAGCGACCGAGTGCACGATGAGAATGCCCACCAAACGTAACGTTTCCCTATTTCATATTGTTGATTGAGATCAAGTGGAACGCCACGCCATACTGTTAGCTTCTGTGGTGGTAGTTTTTGGAGAGCGTTGAGAATCAGCCTCAAATAAGAATACCAAGGTTTGAGTTTTTGTCGGTTTTCAGTCCGTAATATCTTATTAAGAACATAATACAGACATTCATCTCTTGGTTCCCATTCCATGGTGTAGAGAAAAATCGCAGCGGATTCGTTTTGATCCAGTCCATCAGCTGAATTTTCGCAGTTCGACATGGCAATGAAAACGCGTCGATGGATGTCAGGACAACAAGATACAATGGGCTCGACCGCTTTCTCCAACGGAAGTAGCGGCATTTTTTGATATCCTTCGATGGGTTGTAACATCCTCCGAGGTTCTTGACCTACGTCCAAAAAGCGATCATGTTTGTTTTCTGCCTCATCAGAATACATATGTTTCGCTGCCATTGTGTTACTTTCTTTGCATCCAATGCATGTAACTTGTGATAGACGTGAAACAAGTTGACTGCTTTTTCTTTTTACTATCGCATGCACATGTTTCTTTGTTGTGTGGTTCGATAACAAAGAACAACAAATTTCATTCGTCTTTTTCACTAGTAGCGATTAGTCGTATTCTATCGTATTCTATTCTCTTTCTTTATCAAAGAACGAGCATATACGCGTCATCGTATATTATTATTTCTTTATATACTTCAGAAAAAAAAAACATCTTTTTTTTTCCATTTATTACTTGAATTATTAACTTGCTCGGGCTTGGTGGTAGAACCACCATGCGGCCAAGCAGGAGTCCCTCAATCTACCGCAACTGCTCCCCCGACATTCCTCAACGTCAACAACACCAAGATAAAATATCATCATCCGATCTTGTTAATTCGGATCATTCTGCAAACTGTGGTCAATGTATTCATCGAACAACAAATGAAAATTACCAACACTCAAATTTTCATTAACAAAATTATTCATGGCGTTACCATTAGTCCCGTTCCTTTATGTCTCCTGTTACACCAAAAAAATTTAACTCGTTTCAAAATGTTTATCCTTTACTTGGAAATGTTACAATGAATGATTCATCTGCTGATATACATGCACATCCATATCCATTTACAAGTGGTCGTACAAATAAAAAAAGAAAACAAAGTGATAATGAACAGCCAATAGCAGGTCATTATGATGAATCACCACTTCTTCAACAGACAAGTAATGATACTAATACACAAACAAAATCAACTTCAACTAATATTCCATCAACAAAAGTTACAGATGAAGCTAAACGTTATGCTGAATCCCGTTATCCATTTCCACCATTTATTTTACATTTTACAAGACCTAAAATTAATGATAAAGCTATTATTGATGAATTATTGAATTACTGTAAAATTAGTTATTCTTTTGATCTTGAATTAGCTGGTTTTCGTTCATCTTCAATTATATCTAATGATAATGAATGTAATTTACTTGTATTCGTCAAAAACAGTATATCATTTTCATTTTTATATTTGGACATTACATGGCCTGATAAATTAGGTGGTGATATTTTTACCATTGATCGAAAACCAGCTATTCCAACTCAACTTGCTCTTATCATAACTAATGTTAGTTATAAAACGAACTTAAACGAGTTCGAAAATGATTTAAAAGTCAGGTACGAAAATATTGCTGGAGTTACTCGTTTAAAGAATAAGAATCATTTTGATACTAAATTAGTTAAAGTTGAATTTAGTTTATCGAAAACACGTGATGATATTCTAATTGATGGATCTATTATGGTGAATTATATTAAATATGATGTTAAAGAATTTCTACCAGTAGCAACAATTCTTATCTGTTCAAACGGCATGGGATTAGGACATTTTAGCAAGCAGTGCAAACAAAGTGATAGTACATGTAAAGTTTGTGGTGAACATTATCAGGACCTGAACAAATATTGTTGTGGTGGTGATCACAATTCGAACGACATGAAATGCAAGGTGATAAAACAATATAGAGCTGATTTAACAAAAGTACTTTTATCTGCTCCAAGTCGTACATTTAACAAGTACCTGAACTCGTGGTCTGATTTTCCACCATTACCTCAACCAATTAAAACAAATTTTAATAAGAATAATTTACCAACTGGTGATGCAAGTGGAATTATGTCAAAGCTGGACCTGATCCTCAACTCAATGAATAATATTAACAACATTATAGGTGATCTTAAACAACGTACTGAACAAATTGAAGTATGGCTTAATGATAAACGAAAAACTGATTCAAAAACGGAAAATGATATTAAAGCATTACAACTTAGTAATATACGTCATGAAGGTGAAGTATTACAACATGCAAAATTAATTGAAAAAATGATTTTCCCGGTCTTAGATGATATGATCATTTTATTGATGGAGTTGAACGTTAAAGACGGTAAAATTTTAAATGTTGATTTCAAGTCGAAAAGTGAAATATAGAAAAACATGTTTAAAGCTTATCTTGATAAAAGACTAAAACTCTAATGGAACTTTCACCACATGCTACCCCTTTTTTTTTATTGCACCCCCTCCTCTAAACTATCAGATAGGTCTTTTTTTCTTATCTATGCAAAAAATAATTTCTCTTCTTTTGATTTCGTATTGTTTAAACATACCCTATCAGAGTGGGAAAGTTGTTGTGTGCTTTCATCTTGTCTCACCTTATGGAAAAAATTTGTTCGTACTGATGTGCTCTCCTATTTCTCTTCACTTCACTGTTTGTCATTTAATGTTCGTGGTTTTAATCATAGATGGAATGAAGTTCTTCTTCTCGGGAATTCCTTCAAACTCGATATCATCGTACTAGTGGAAACTGGTGCAGTTGATCTCTCCTGGATGAACAAACTATTTCCTGATAGATCGATCTACTATCAAAAAGGTGAAAATAGTTTTGGTGGAGTCGCAGTACTGATTAGGAAAGATTTAAAAACGAAGAAAGTAGACTGTAATTTACCCAACATTTGCACAGTAGATATTGAACTTGAAGAAAAAATAAGGATTGTAGGTGTGTATGCTCCCGAAAGTAAGACCTGGAATTGGAAAGATCTCACGCCATTTATTTCCTCTAAATGTGTATTACTGGGAGATTTTAACGTTGATTTGGTTAAAGATACCAAACCACGTGAATCACTTCTGGATTGGGCCGATAGCTGCTCTCTATCTCCTAGCGTGCCGGATTCTTTCACATCACTTAGAACTAACTCATATCGAACTATTGATTATGCTCTATCAAGTGGTATACCTGTAAGCATTCAAACATACGAAGGTGGTACAACAAGTGATCATAAACCAA